AATGCCTGACTTCAACCAGTTCAAGAATCACAAGACGCTTTTTCAGAATAATACGACTCACGGAAAACAAACAGAGTTGACGATGGAACCAGGAAAATAAAATTGTCCACCTTCTTGAATGTTGAGAGATATTGCCTTCTTTGTTTTGCAAAAAACTCCCCTAACTGTGTAAGGGCCTCGGAAAATATGTTAAGGTAATAATATTGTTTCAGTGACGGAGAATAAAGAGTTAAATTTGACTAATTCTACATGACCGTAACCAGGGAACATGGGACACACGAAGAGCATGTTTGTCCTGAAGAAATCAAACAAAGACGAACAATGAAACTGATTAATTATCACTTATAACAATGATATTGCGCTTTTGTTAGAGCAGCTACGAACACTTCTTTGTCGGAAAAAAGTTGGTCTTTATACAGCAAGAATAGCCAAGGTGAAATGATTCAGCGAACCTTCAATGTTTTGTAATCAATTTTATTCTGGCTTGGCTCGCTCTAAATCAGGCAAGTATTTTAGGCGACCCGAAATGAGCGGAAACAGTGAAACTTATATTTTCGCAAAGATATTATTATAGCACTTTTCTCGTAAGTGAAGTCAGTAGTAAGTTCGAATGGTTTGCCAACGTTTTATTCAATCAAATCTAGTCTATTCCTTCTCTACTTGAATGTTTTTTCGGAGCGTTTTGGCGAAATTCGCCGACAATAGAGACTTTTGGTCGAAAAGATAAGAGCGGAAACAACACATGATGTTAACAAAATAAAAAATGGTAAAATCATACTAAAATTAAAATTAGGAAAGGATTCAAGTAGATGCTGAAAGGGAAAAGTAAATTGATTTCGCCATTTTTAGTGGCCCAGAAAATAGATCACTGTGTCCGCAGTTTAATACAAGGACGAGGGTAAGATGGCGGATTTTGAAGACTTTTAGGATCTCGTTTATATTTCTGAAAACCAAAAGGCAACGCTGGATAATAATTAGTATTCCTATGTTTGGTATCTCTGATTAATAATATTGCCTTTACTGTCTTGCCGAACCATGTCTCAAAGTCTAAAAGAGGCGTTTTGTGATATAAATGACTCAAACGGTTACGGGTTGGTGAATAAGAAAAATACAATTTTGAGGTACCATAAATTAATTAAATAGGCTGACTGCTTTGTTTTTGTGGCAGTTTTTTCATTAGCAACTTAACATGACATGCACCGTGGGTAAAGTGAGCGAACAATCACATGACGTGACAATTACATGTTGCCAGAGTGACATAACTTCCTCTCGTAATTAGGCAAATGAAGGCGTAACAGACAGAGTGGGAAAAAGCACCTCAGTGATCAACCACAAGAGAGGTAGATAAAGAAAGGGTATGTTTTCCAAACAAGGCGACAAAGATAAGGAGAGGGGTAATCGCCAAAATAATTCTTTACCGAAATCAGCCACGAGAGCAGATGGAAGGATAAAAACACTACGCAGCTTGCGCTTAAAGTATTTGCACTCTACACGCCCTACGGAAACCACTAGAAAGTCACCTTCTTCAACACCTGAAGATAAAAGACGGGATTCTATCTTCGTCAAGACAAATATCTCACCTGCTCTAAGTTCTAAGCAAGCTACATTAAGTAAATCGCCTGAGGCGAAAGTTTATCGATCATTCACGGAAGAGAAAGGAACGAATCAAGTGGGGGGAGGTATAAGAACCTTAAAGCCTGAACAAACAAGCACAGAGAATGCCAAAACAAGCTTCACGAAACGGTCAACAGAAACGGTCCACACATCTCCTATCATTCAGCCAGCCGACGCAGTCAAGCGTTACGCTTTACTTAGAGGAATGTTAAGTCAGTAAGTGGCTTTACAGAACCTAAGAGAGCGCTTAAGTCAAGGGTCGTAATAGAACGAGGCAATCAAAACTACCAATCAGAACAAAGTGAATGACATCGTAGTCTATTATGAGACCCAGAGTAGATAAAACGATAACTAAAACGTGATCAGAGAGATCGCACGTGAAAATGTTGCAATTTTCTTAATCGTTCATATGCATGATCATGCTTCATTGTTTTGAGTTAATCATAAAACAAATTAAGGAAAAAGCCATGTAGTTATAGATTACTTCAAAAGGGAAAATGCACTTTTGCTTTTTGACCTTTCTGTTCGGGGCTAAAAATGAACAAACAGTTGTAAAAATCTCAAAGTTGTTCAGTTTTTACGTCCTGGGGCATTGCAATTTTCACGCCCCACTTTTGATTTTTGTAACGCTTTTTTGTTCAGCTTAAGCTTGATGAAAAATTAGATACCACTATAAAAAGAACATGAGTGCTACTGTCTTTTATCGTTATATTTGCAATGCGACTCGAAGAATAGAGGGGTCAAAAAACTCTGTTTCGCAACTGTTTCGTAATCATAACATGATATTAGAATTACAATACTGTTTGACATTTTTTTTCGATCACAAAAGATCTAGATTTGAAAAAGACCATGATGTAAAGAAAGATAGAAATGAAGGCAAGATAATCCAGGATAAAGCGCAACGCCGACCAAGCAGGTTGACCTCTGATACAGTGCAACTAGATCAGAAAGAATACAAACAATGGATAAACAGGGTTTCGTTTTGCGACTCAAAAACAGTGAACGACTCATGGAAGACAACCAATGTTGGCTCCAGGAGCGACGATAAATATGTGATAACAGGAACGCGGGTGAGATTGCGTTAACTTAGATAGCAATGCATAAAATTAGAAGTATTATAAAGCTCTCGCGGGTGAATTGAATTGATTTTGTGGGAAAATTAGTCATGATAAGCAGTGAATAGCTCTAGCTTGTCTAGTAATAAGACGTGTTTCTGTTTTCATCTTTTAGTTTCCTAAACGAATCTACATCCGGGAGGTTTCAAACGGTGCTATTGTCGACGAAATAGTTGATGTTCAAAGCGAGAGAGACTGGGAAGTATTGAACTATATGTCGCCACTACGTCACATATCATGTGACCCACAGGAACGTTCCAAGAGCCTTAACTTCCAAGATTTGAAAAACTTTGACGTTTATTATTACCCACATCCGTGGAGATAACGAATTATTAGTACAAATAATTCACAAATGTTATTTATTAGCATGCTCACCTATAAAGGGGAATGTGATATTTCAGATGGTCGACAGAGAGCTAGCTAGGCCAAATTACGACCACAGAGTCATTGAAAATACTTAGCGCCGGTTTGATACAATAGTCTGATATTGTACCAAAAGCATCTAAGATTGCTGAAATGCTTGAGATTTGATTAGCTGGCTGCGGAAAGGTAAAGAAAATTTGCATCCACTCACTTTGTGAGCTTTTGACTCTCTATAAACTTCTAACTTCCCAAGACACCGAAATTTATCAAGAGTTGAAAATATCACTCCTTCTCCGTCGAAACAATCCTCCTCTCCTGAACCAGTTTGCATAATAATACATTCTATCCATTATACATTCTAAATGAGGCCCGCATACTTCTCTTTGAGTTGGTAAGCCGTTGCTATAAACAAGAGTCATATTACATCGAAGTACTGGTACTTACCCCAATATGGATACAACGCAGCCATTTCACTACAGAAGTAATCTCTTAAGTGATATACGTGTAGGTATCACTGGTCCTCTGAAATAGAACAAAACGCGCGTAATTTATTATTTTTTCCAGCAGATGCATTAGAGAATTTCTCCGTTTTCTAGAAAGCATAGACAAGGCTTGTTCCAGAGGAGTGTACCTTTTTAAAATTATACAAACTTAACAATAATTTCACAATCGAGTATTCCGTTGGGGTGGATCGAAATTACTGCAACAAAATAAAAAGATTCAGGCAAAGTCCATGTACGTGTCATAAATTAGTTGAACCCTTGATGACAATTAAAACTCCATATGTCTCAAACGCAATAACTTATGCGAAGAGAGCGCTCTTCTACTCGCTTTCAAACCTCGCACGATTGGTGTTCAGGTTTAACTTAAGAAAAAGAGGGCTGTCAATAGGCTTCAGGGGAACCTTACATCCGAACGAAGTGTGGCCTCATTTAGTTCTTACTGAGGTTTTTACATTTAGAATCTCACCGAACTATGTTCCTCTTGCGATCTTCAGCGGCGAGTCGATCAACCTCTTTGGACTGATGTGGGACGCACGTTTATGTGTGGGAATAAACATTTCATATTGACAAGCAGAAAGCTCTCCATTGAATATTAGAATCTAAGTCCGCCAATAAATTCAATATTGGGATGTTGAGTCGATTAGTTTTTTTTAGGAAGCCGCCGCAACAATTGAGGAACGATTATCATAATCCTGATAAAGAAAGTAATAAAGAAGATCTTGGTTTTATACCCTTGAAGAGTGAGATCAAAGATGAAGTGTCTTGAACGAGGCCAGTATAACATGCTCGTCGATATTACGAGTAGTTTAATATCTGATCTGCGTTCCAGATAAAGATAGACGAAGGAAAAGCGGCCTGCGATGGTTTAACTAAGATTGTAGGAAAAATCAATAATAGCTTCAATAGAGATATACAAAAGAGATTGTTCTGTTATTTCCGAACTTTTTAAAAACAATTCCCTGACTGTAGATTTTTTTGTTGATAGAAGTCTACGCTAAAAGAAACGCTAAAAGAGGCAAGAGAATGATATTTGTAAAATTTATCAACTCCAAACAAAGCAAATATGAGACACAAGGTTGTGAAATCATGATTCGGTCTCCTCTTAGGGTGTCAGGCAGGAGTCTTTATTGTTGCCAAAATAAAAATTTCTTCAACGGGCTCATTAGTTCATATCAAATTTGGCGTTAAGGTTTTCTTCATTTTGAAGGATGTAGCATAATTATTACCATCCAAACCAGTATCCAGTGGATCATAAACAGTGGGAAGACTGGAAACCAGTTTTTTTAGCGGGTGGTCAGCGTTTGGACAATTGCCCAATTTTCATGTGGTGTAACGAAGCTATACACGTGAGGTTGGGACCCGGCAGAAAACAGAGTGGTTATCATACTATACACAGGTGAGACTGTATGTTGTACGCATAACAAAGATCTTTTTATATCTTTTGCGCTAAATTTGAAAATAAGTGCACAGTGATCGCGGGTAGTTATTTCCGGTCTACAACTTGCATCCAGGAATGATCGTGGACTTTAGATGTTAATTTGGTTCGCATGGTAAGCATACTATAAGGAATGAGTACAACTCAAGATACATTCGATTATGATTCCTTTAGAGTCTTGAATTTAACCCTTAATTATATATTTTTTTAAAACGTAATTTATAAATGAATCGATCGTTATATTTCTGGAAAGATCAAGATCAGTCCGAAGAGTTATGTTAAAACGCAAATCAAACATTAGTTCACATGTTAGCTGCAGTGAGTGTTCTTTGGGATTTGAAGCACGTGGGAAGTTTTGAGCACAGACAAGGGCAAGTCTAGCTCCCAAAACTTTCCGCGTGCTTCACACATCTTATCTCCATGAATATACGGCTGACGTTTGGAACACTTGATTTATCACATTATATTTGGGAAAGCCAGCGCTTTAAATTTAAAATAAATCGTCTTTTGACCCAAAAAAGCTCCAATGAAATTTAAAAAGTTTGAAATGTTATTCCCAAACTAAACAAATGATAATTTTACTCAACCTCTACTCAGAAGTAAAAATTTGTGGGAAAAAAACCGCACAAGGTCACCGTCAGCTTCACCCCAAATCAGAGACTTGGCAACTAAGCACACAACTGTAAAATGACCTAATGTTGTTTACTTGACTTCATGGTCAGAAAATTGCCTAGTATTATGTTGAAAATTCTGAAAGTCATCAGATTCAAAACAAAATCTTCTGTTGCACAATACTTCAAGGCATATCTACATTTAAAAAGAATATTTACTTGGCTAAAGAATGGTCTGAAATTGGTGAAGCTCCACTTTTGTCATCAAATTCAGTTTTCATTTTTCATCCATAATTTGGATAGTGTTTGGGAATCGAAGCATTGTCCAAAATTCTCACCGTTTCTTTTAAGTCTCAAAAGATCATCACTTTCCAAATCGAGTATCCTTCAATAGATTTACCTTTCATTTAGAGCTCCTAAGAGTCTGTCTCAAAAATCGCAGCCAAACTGGTCACAAAGTTCACAGTCAATCACTAAGGAAAATTTTTGGTCCTGGGCCGTTTGCTGATTTCATTAGCATTCACAACAGGATTTTGAAGCATGCTCATGCTAGTTAATCAGGGTGCCTGAATTTGCTAGCTATTTCATAGTGACTATTATTTCAGATCTGAGACAAACATTTACATCAAAATCTTTAAGTAGACTTATCTCATGGAAACAAAATTTGGAATGAAGAAACAATTTACTATAATGAAATTTTTTACCTGATTGTGCCAATTTTTGCCTGTTAACCATGTAAGTGTAAGTTTACATAAAAAGTGTTTTTTTTCTGGCTATTATGCAATGCACTGTGGTGAAAATGTTCAGCAGTGTGTGGCTAAATTCCTTTGCAACAGAGGTAGATTCCTCTCAACTTGGATACCACAGCACCCCCTAAAATTCCTTACATAGAGATGCTACCATTGTTTCAGCTGTAGTCTCCACAAGTAAAAGTAAATCTTCTGCTTTTTTCAAAGTATTACATTTCTATTGCAAATGAACCCAAAAGGTGATTGAGTCTGCCAGGCCACTTACAAGAATTTATCTTGGAAACAGTTTCTTGCAATAGCTTTTAGGGAAAACCCTTGTAGCAAACTGCAAGTGGATGGTTCACCCATTTGGGAGCCCTTTTTCAAAAGAAGTTTATGAAAGGGAAGATTTCATTGGTTATGTTACTAGAGGCTGATGATTGTTAACCTGGTCATCAACTCCCAGAAATGATTAATGGGTAACTTCTCTCCTTAATATCCATACAACATCTAGCAAATATGTAATGAGAATACTCAAACTTATCTGGTTAAAGCTACCTTGATCTCATACCAAATTCTTATAACCAATTTACAGTGAAATCTCTGGTAGCTAGAGAAGGGAATTGACAGGTCTTGGGAGTTAAAGAGTTAACTGAAGGGGAAAATGAAAACGAAGCAAGATGTAATGTGTATTGTCCTCTTCATTATGGTAGCTTCTAACCAGTTACTCCCAGAAGTGACCAAAAAGGAAATTCTCCTCACAATCTTGATAGTGGAGCTTGCAGAGCATAGCCCCATAATTATACAGAATAGTAGTATCCCATCAAGCCGAAAAAATTTAGATGTACGACTTGTGCTCTTGAGATCTGTGGGAAAAATAAAATGCAAGCTCTGCTTTTAGGCTTGGCTAAATCTATATATTACATTTTCAAGCAATTAGGTGATGGGAGGAAGAAAAAATACCAACCAAGGGGATACCATTTAATTTAACTGATTCTTTGATTCTTACCACTAAAAATATAAGAAAAGTACAGCAGACAGTGATGAGAACTGATATGTAGTTTATAGGAATGAAAGGTTTAAAAACATGAGAAAAGTGTGAATCATACCCCTTTATTGATTCCATTTCTGTGGTCTAGAGGATTTTTGATGCATACTTTTTATTCAAAGTTCACCAAGTGACTTGCTCAACTGTTATCTTATAAGCCGAATTTTCATTTTATATCTGCGAACATCAATCTTTTTATTTATTTTGATAAATGTACAACTATATAAATTTTCAAGTCTTTGAGAAACTGGAGCACATTAATTGCAATAAATTTTCATGTTGCTTTTAGGAAAAGAAATGAGGCAAAGAAAATCTGGGAACAGACATGGGAATAATACAGAGGTAAATCTGGAAAGAACCTTTTGTCTTTGTGGTTCCAGTAAGTCATCTCTACCCTTTCTTGGAAAATCTGTATTGATTCTGAGCAGTTTCTAGTCTTAGTTTTGGGTTAGAAATATGAGACAAAGCTATGATTTCTGATAAGAGTTAGAAAAAGTTGAAGATATGATGGCTTTTTGGGGTTTTAGACTATGAGTTGAAGTCAATGGAATCAAAATAAAATTTGTACCTCTTAATTACGGTACTCTCAAACAACTGTTTTTTTGTTGTTGTTGTTCTTATTGTAATGGATATTTTGCTCTATAAACACTGACTTAATTTGGTCATAATTGATTTTTTCTTTCTGTTGTAGTCAAATCCTTCAACTAAAAGAGAGGGATCTAAGAATGAGACAAATGGTAGCTGGTGGGGTTTGCTAAAGTATTCCTTACTGCTGTTAGTTCCTGGTTTTCTCAATCATGCAGCACTTTATCGTGAGGATGTAGCACTTAGACCACAAGGGGAATTGTACGACATTGGCTGGAAGCAAAAATTGTTTATGGCTTGTTTAGGGCATGGTCCACCCACAGTTATTCTGGATGCACCAACAGGCAAATCTTCAGATGTGTGGGCTTTGGTTGCTCCTCAAATCGCTAAGGTGGCTAAAGTTTGTTTTTATGACAGAGCAGGGCTTGGCTTTAGTCAAAGACCTTTGGTGAATTGGTCTGATCCAGAACAGGCCAAACGAGGCAAGCTTTCAACAAGTGAGAGAATGGCGGAAGATTTTCAAAGACTCTTCACTGAGAGTTCTGATCAGCCAAAACCCTTTATACTAGTTGGAGCTGAGTTGGGGGCAGTAAATGCAAGATTTTATACTCAGATGTTTGAGAACAATGTTGCAAGCCTAATATTGATAAATCCACTAGTGGAGGGAATGTTTGGGGATGATTGGACAAGGTTGTGGTTTGAACAATATGTGTTGTCTCAACAAGTTTTACAGTTTTCTGCAGCGACAGGAATCACAAGATTAGCTCTCATCCTTGGTTTGATGAAGGTTCCGTTGCAACATAAACTATTGCCAGCAAATGTTACAATGCGTCAAAAGTATCTTTTATGTAAACCAGGTCATCTAAGTTCAGGAGTTGATGAGTTTTTCTTTGCAAATGAAAGCTTAGCTCAGATGAGAATGTTGAGGAAAATTAAACCATTTCCACAGTCAGTGGATGTGTCTATCATCAGCAGTGCTGTGTATGATGACAAATTGGAAGGGAACTTACAAAAGGTAAGAATTTTCATTTAAACTTGTCACTTCCAAGATCCAATCTGTAATTCTCCCTTACTCATAACCATACATTTTCTTGTATTTTAGACAAAAAATTTGGTCTCATTTCAAGAGAGCACTCTTAACCCTTTACACTCTAACACTAGTATGTATTTTTCCCATGCTGTTCTCAACACATTTCCTAAGGTACTGACAATGAGAATATCTTTAACAATCAAGAACCTCTTTAGTTGGTGATTGTTTGCTCTCTTGTAAATCGATTGAAATGTTCCAATTGCACATTTGGGAGCAGTCCACATGCGGAGCCTGGATGAGAAAATTGGGACTGCTGGAGTGGGCGTAATTAGCCAATCAGCTTTTGGGGATTTAGGATTCAGAAATGGCTGAGATGCTTGAGAGAAAATGTTAGTTATTTTTGGAAATTTGTAACATGAGTGCAAGAAGTCAAAGTTTTGAAATTTCATGGCTGTGATTAAATTGTAGATACAAGCAGAGAATTTTTGACTGTTTTAGTTGGTGTTCTGCTCTTTATTTTCCTTCAACATTTGTTAATTTATGAAAACTTCAATTTGTATCATGGTATTTTGTCGTAGAAAAGATCTCTGTGTGAAATTATCATTACAATTGTTGCAGTTCTGAGACTTATCTTGCAATTAACTCCCTCAATGTGTTTTTTGAATGTTTGATTTGTTTTGATTTTTAATTTTCATTCCATTTCACTGATATATCATTATTTCCACTTTTTTGTCAGGTATGGTCTAGAGCACAGGATCAGATATCAAATGTCTTACATCCAGGAAGTGAAAAGATTCCTCTTTCAGGAAACGTTCAATCAGCACTTTTACAACATTCTGAAGTTATCGTGAAAGTTATTACAAAACATGTTAGTAAATGGAGGCAAAAACAACACAAACCAAAGAGCTCCTGATATACTACCTCAAATTACTTCAAGACTGTTTTAGAATAAGTTTATGTTCTAAGCACACGGAATAAAAAGTTAAGAAGCTTGTAGTATGCAAGGTCTGTTTTTTCTGAAATGGTCACATCAACCAAAATAAAGCAGAACAAGGTTACTAAGTCTCCCTAGATACACTTGTAGAAAAAAAGCATATTATCTAGTTACCTTCCCACCATTATTTTCCAACAATTCCCCTTGAAATGAATAGGAAAAAAGTCAAGTAACCCCCTTGACTTCATTTCTACCTTAGCCTGAGGCACACAATAAGCAATTATTGGATGAGGTTGGGTATGATATCAGGATTTATCAATGTTCAAGTCTGAGTTGTCTTTGAAAGTGGAAGGCTGAGGCAGATAACACAGACAAGAGGTTCAGATAATTCTTAATATTATACTGAAACTGACTTAGATAATTGTTTCATTACACACCGTTAAAACAATCTGCAAAAGAAGACACTACTCTCTGAGTTTGCAAAAGTTTTAGAACACTACACAGACAAAGGGGTTGAAGACTAGGCAGACTTTGAACTTAACATGATAACCAACCATCTGCTGTAGATATTAGGTTATCATGTCTACTTAACATGCCCCTGTGTATTGACTGAATGCTCTCAACCAATCAGAGTTTTCATAGTAACTCTTTTGAGTTTTTGAGTACTGGTAGTCCAAAACTAGCCCCCACACCCTAGTTTGAGCTTTCAATTGTGGCATTGGTATGTCAGTGTCCTTCCCACCCCCTTCTCAACCACTCTAGACACACTTAAGAAGAGTCCACTTAGTAAGTCAGTTTTTTGACAACAAGCTTAATGTGTTCAGTGTTGAACATGGGGACAAGACAAAAGCAGAGAACAACAAAGCAGCTGGATTAGCATACTATTATTTCTGCGACTCTTCTTAATCACATGGGTAAGCAGTCATTTCATTTGTGACCAACGCGCAAGCCGTCGCGTAGTAAGTTTAAGCCAATCAACAAGCTTTATTAATGATTAGTTGCCAGTGCCTCTATGCTGGTTGCAATTAAATCGAAATACGGAAGTTAATCGTTGAGATAAATAAGTCAGCCGTTGGAGGGTGGAATTCACGATCACATTCAAGGCAGAAGGTAGTGAGACGATTCGGTTCATTCGGATCGCTTCCTGATTTTGGAATAAGGCCATCTTGCACTTATTGTAGTCTCTCGATCACAAATCATGGAGGAAATGAAGTCAGGAACCGTAGAAGCAGAGAAGGAATCAGTATGGACAAATGGTGCTTTGGAGGCAGTTATGAAGATTATACAGAATGCAACAGAGACTCAGCATAATCACCGATTGTTTCTCAACTCTCTTAAACGTTACAAGACATTCGAGGAAGAATTGGAGAGCAAGAGCGGCCGAGGAGTACAACTTCTGATGTCTGGTAGTGTTGCAGAGAACTTATTTGCAATCCACTGGGTCTACAAAGATGGGAAAAGGGAGGCAAATAATGATATCGATGTCATGCTTATTGATTGCTCAATGGTCGTTGTTGAAAAAGATCCTAAGATGGACGGTGAGGACACTGAAACAAACACCGGTAAATCTGCTCAACCAGAATCTTCTCATACTTGTATAGCAGAAGATGAGAGAGAAGAGGTTGCTTACGAGGCCTCAAATGACAAATTTTGGCATACAGAAAAACATGCCCTCTTGGTTCCAAGTAACCACCCTGGTTACGTTCAACTGAGTACCGTCGATGAGAAAGAAAAAAGAACATTTTTGACCACAGAGAGCTTCAAAATGTTTTGGTCTGAGGTTGTTAACAACACTGCACTTTATTCTCTAGTCAGCGGTCCTCAGCTTCCTGCAGGTGGGGTCGTTGTCAGTGGACCAGCTCTGAATAGACGGGATCGCCCTGGCAGCAGAAATAATTATCCTCACGACTATGTTCCGTGTTTGCGCTGTGAGAGATGGACAACCTTGGCAGGGGGATGGGCAGTCGACAGAACACGTGCTGTTGATTGGCCCAGCAAAGAGTTGATTTTGGAGATAATTAGCGAAGGTTGTCATGTTGTTCCAGTGTTTTGTCATGATAATACAGAGAGCAATTTGAGCCAAACTGAATGGAGACTTTCGTTTTCTAATGCTGAGAAGAAGCTTATACACTCACTAGCAACTGAACAACGACAGAGCTATATCATGGCTAAGTTAATTATGAAACAGGTCATTCAAGAAATGAAGGACAGTGTTTCAGGAACAACTGTGGAAAAAGCTCCATCATCTTATCATCTAAAGACAATTTTCTTATGGAAATGTGAAGAGAAGCCTTTGGAAAAGTGGAGACATCTTCTTGAATCAGTGGTTGATTTGTTGAAAACCCTAGTTGATCATCTGAGGTTGGGGAACATTCCACAATACTTCATCCCAGAAAACAACTTGATCGACCATATCAAGAAAACTGATCTTACTTCTGTGGCTGATGGTATCACTGCAGCTGTGAATAACCTTCCTAAAGCACTGCATAATGTTTTCCTTGTAGCATATAGCAGTCAGCTTGACTATGATGAGAGGGTTTGCCCAATCCTAAGAATTCTAGAGGGCCAATTGAAGATCTTTTGCAAGACTGGTAAAGCAGAAGCTAAGCTCTATCTATGCTGTATATTGAACTCTGTTATTGATTCCCTATCAGCAGCAACTGTTGGAACCTCAGATGAATTACAGCCTCTAAAAGACCATAGGTACCTGCTGGAGATTTATTGTTCATGTTATGGCACTGCAAAAAGTGCCTTGGAAGTACCATCTCCACCTGTGTTGGGTGCTGCAGAAGAGGAAACAACTGTCATGCTCCTATTCAAGTACTTGTTGGATCTATTACAGAACACACACATTCTGACCACCTTAAAGAGTGATGTATTTGCCTTTTTGACAAGAGTATTTACCCAAAATCTAGTTTCATTGTCAGTCAAGGAAGTGTTCACTGAGTGCTGTGAGGCATGCCTTGTATTGTATCAGACTGTTTGTGACAATCTTGGAATATCCTGTGAATCTGCTATTTCATGTCGTGAAGAGTTTGGCACACTTAATGGCATTGACTACATTTTCTTTAAACACCCTGATATGGCTAAACAGAATTTCTGTCAATTTTCTGCAAAACGGTTTAAGAAGTTTCAAGAAAATGGTGATTTAGGCAAAGTGAAGACATTAAGTTGGTAGTGGGAAAACTAGGTTAAATAATCGTATAGTCTTTAACCCTTCACTCCTAAGATCTCATTGGTAATTCTCCTTATTGTCTGCTATACAATTCATATGATGTTAGTTTGGATAATTTGGAATTGGATCAACAAATAATCCTGTAATAGTGTAGTTTGATTGTCTGGGTTAGTGAAGTCCTGAGAAGGACTGTTGTTGGTAGTGGTGACTAACGTTTTGACAACCTGAGCAGAAGTCATCTTCAGAGTCACCTTCTCTGAAGATGACTTCTGCTCAGGTTGTTGAAATGTCAGTCACCACTACCGACAACAGTCCTTCTTAGGACTACATTCATCTGAAGGATCAAACTACACTATTACATGTTACCCCCGGGTTCAAACCATTAACTGAACAAATAATTCTCAAATCAACATTTTCTTTATTCCCAGCACTTACCTGCTTGATATTGTATTGATAGCATAAGGAGAAATTCTGTCTCAGTCACTGATGGGAGTTAAAGGGTTTATGACAAAAGGTAGACTGAGAACCAGAATAAGAGGAATACAGTTTGGAAATCTTTGGAGGCATCTGCTACCCAGTTCCCTAAATCCTCACCCAATTAAGCACCAAGACATGCCTCTTTCCACACTAATTTTTATTCCAGTCATCCTAAGTCCATATACTTTCTCACATCTCCTAGGCATCCAAAAGTTTTACAGAGTTTGCAATTCCACCACACATGATTGTTGTAGAGTGATGGTGCCTCTAATCAGTGTATATATGAAAATCACTTTGGAGTGAAAGGCTCTCAAAAAAAATAATAACAAATTTGTTGTACAAACTCCTACATACTTAACATAATTATAAAGTATAACTAAGCTTAGGAATTATATTAAACATCAAAATAAATTAAACATCCATGCTAACAATACCTCTCCTGATAAACTCATCTTTGAAAATTCTTGCTGATTTTCCCGCCAAAATAATACTGAATACTGGCCAGCGGCCTTCTTATACACTCTGACATCATTCTTAGCAACGCGACGCCATCTTGGAAAATTGTAAATGTCTTTGTAACCTGTGCCGAAAAAATGGAGGCGGATTTTGCGGCGGGACTGACAAGGATTTAATGAGAAATTGATTATTTATCCAGCTTTTATTTGCGAGTTAGATTTTTTCAGTTGTCGTGAATGCATTGCTGATGAATTACTTGGTGTTGCATTAAAAGTTTGCGTTTGTTTGAATCAAAGTTTACTGGAATCAAAATGTCCTCACATTTACGACCTCGCAAGGGAAAAGCCTCTGTTTATCTCCAAAGAGGAATGAGCGACGAAATTAGCTATGAAGACGTGCTGCTTGCTCAGTACATGGACGAAATCCAGAAGAGTCCCCCTGTTCGTAAAGAAAGGTAAGTTCAGAGATCGATGATTATGTAAATAAAATATTTAATAGAAGGTAAATGGATCCCAAAATCTCTAATTCATAGCGTTTAGTTACCTTCACAGTTGAGATTGTGTTTATGGCCACACAAAGTGGTTAAAGGTGATATGGATTGGTGATGAATGATGAATTATTCAACTTCACATTCTCCCTGATCTTAATTACAGAAACTAATTAGATTTAGTATAATTGCTCAGGTGATTAAAGAGATTCTCACACTCTTATTGGTTGAGGATGGCCATTGAGGATGGCTTCATATCTTGCTATAATCACTTCCTGTGAGATGATTATAGCAGTGGCACTGAATTTCAAATGACTGCCTTGCATTTTGTCAATGTTACCAAATAAGTGATAAATGTCATAGGAGACAATTCAATTTAAAAAGTTTTTTGTGTAACACTTTTCACAGGTAAGATATGAAGTTTTTGTTGATTAAATTAAATAAACCTGTAAAATCCTAAAGGAAACTGTCTGCCTATTTTAATACAATTAATCAAAACAATTGTAACAAAGTATGCCCAACTCTCTTT